ACTCTAATGACAGGGGCCCCCTCCCATCTCCTAGTCATACTGAGAAGGTGAGCAAAGCATCTTCTCATTCTCCTGCGTATAATGGTAACTGGCTGAAAAACCAAAACCATCCAATGGTGCTTCATTTGTTTAAATGTCACAGATAATAAGCATCATGGTTCACAATACACTTTTAAGTGAAAACACTCACTAACCCCCACGATCCCAACCTGGAAGGGAAATGGTACGGGGAGAAAGGACGCGCCTCTGGTGAATGACCGTAGCAGCACAGTCTTCCTCATCAAGCTTATTTTTTTAAGCAAGCTCTACACCCAAGGGGGCTCCAGCTCACGACCCCGAGAGTCACATGCTCTACCGACTAAGCCAGCCAGGAGCACCATCAGGCTTATCCTTGAAATCTAAAAGAGTGGACAGAGGCAGACAAATAGTACAATTTCCACAAAGGAAAGAGTGTAAAAAAGCTGAGGGTTAGGGCATCTGGGCGGTGCAGTCAGTGGGCATCTGACTTTGGTTTCAGCTCAGGTCATGATCTCAGAGTTGTGAGACCCAGCCATGGGGTGGCTCTGCACTCAGCAGGGAGTCTACTTGAAATTCCTTCCCCCTCTCTCTGTCCCTCTGCCAAATGCTCTCTCTCTATCCCAAAAATAAACAAGTAAATCTTAAAAAAAAAAAAAAAAAGCTGTAGGTCACCAGATAGTGAGCTTGATAATGATCTTCACTAAAATTCCAGAATAAAGAAGTCTCAGCATTTTAAAGAGGAAAGCATAGTACCCCTTTATCAAGGTAGTACATGTATTTTAACTGTTTTGGTCAAGACGGGGGGGGGGGGGGGGGGGGGGGTTAGGTCAGGTAAAGCACAAGGGCATGTCTGACCCAGGTCCACTCAATTACCACTCTGTAGGTAGTCTTTGGGAGATTCAGGCATCCCACAGAGTCTTACAGAGGGGACTTCTATTGTTCCTCCCTAATTTGGGAGTCTAAGAAAGAGCCTTAGCAACAACAAAGGAATTATCTAGGTAATAATTTCTCCTAGTAATAGGAGCTGAAGAAAAACAAGCTGTAAAAATCAACACATCCTTCCAAAATATCACACTGCACTACAGAATTCTTTTACAAAAAATACTCCAAGGGAGTTAAATTCCAATTTTTAAAGATAATAAAATCTACTCCTGATGGATAAATTCATTAAATCCAGAAATACTGCGCACTATGTGCCAAATTATATTCTAAAATATAGATATTGATATAGCTCATCAATGAGTAAGACCAGAACTCTTGTGGCTGGTGGAACGAGACAATAGACAGAAGTTCTGAACTAAAAACCTTTTCTGGTGGAGCCTGGATGGCCCAGTAAGTACAGCATGGATTCTTGATCCCAGGGTCATGAGTTCAAGCCCCACGCTGGGTGTGGAGCAGAGTGGGAGTGGGGAAGCTAAAGCTAAACTCATCTACATAGTCACCATGATCCTGGTCTCTATTAGCAAAACAAGGCAGACCACCTTAGGATACTCAACCATGGGAGTCCACAATCGCCCTGGGGTTAAACTTTGATTAGGAACTTGGAGCAACTACTTGTCCAAAGGCAGACAGGTGGACAGGACTCATGGGACATCTGGTCCTATTGAATTATTACTATATGGTTGTTTCACTTACTCTTCAGTGATTTACAGTTTTAGTAATAAGTCTCCCAACATGGTTTTTAGCTGTCGAGAGCTACCATTTTGTAACCAAGAAGAATCTGTGAGAAGCTACTTTGCTCAAATGATGATGTATTTCATCTGAGCAGGAAACTGTGAGAACATTCGAATCCCATTCTTCTTAATAGTTCAGATAAACTCCCCCCCAAAAAAACATCCTGAGGTAAGAGAATTTCAGCTCTACGCAATCCCCCCCCCCACCCCCCACCACACAGCTGATTTCCTCCACTTTTCCTGAGATCACTAAGCTCCCTACACCACTTGCTATAAGACTGGTGAGGGCGTGCTGCCTCGCATCCTCAGCCCTGGCTCCAACATCCTGTTCAGAGCCAAGCATCAGGAGATACTGGGCTTTCCTTGAGGCTCTGTCGTGTTTTTTCAAAGCTTAAAAGGCACAGAGGTGTTTTCCTTTTCAATTTGGTCCCCACCACACCGTCAAGGGTCTGCCTCCCCCTGTAGACTACATGTAAGACCTTCCTAGTTGAGGAGTGCCCACCTACCCCAGCTTCTGTACTGGCCCTGACCCCGCTACTCTATTATGATCTTTGTAGATTGCCAAGTTGTTGCCTCTTGTTTAAAGATGTTGATCGTAGTCCATACTGAAGGAATCTACCTTTTTAGACTGCTTTCAACCTTCTTGCCCATTAAAAATAAGTTTGATGCTTTGCCATGTATTATCATGTTGTCAAATAAGTATCTTAAATTGACAGATTTTTCCCTGAAATTTTACTAATTACAAGTCCTTAAGGTCAAAGACTTCTTCAATTCATTGATGAACTACTTTCACAGCTGGAATATAAAAAGACCAAAGGCTTATTTAATAGAAATGGAATACTTACAGAGGCAGTGACAAGTCTAAGAAATAGATCACCAGTTGTCTATCACTAAGAACTAATAGCTACAACATGTCACTGAGTACGTCCTACAAACACACATCTCAATGCAATGCTGAGGGGTGGTAACGAGCATTCCCCCCATGGTACTGATGAGGAAAGTAGAACAGAGATACCCGTTAATTTGCCCAACATCATTTGAGGCAGTAAGTGGCAGAGGGAGGACCAGAAGCCATGTCTGCTCAACTCCGAGGTCCATCCCACACTGCTTCCTGAGCATCTTTATATTCTTTCCACTTTGTTAAATGAAGTTTTAAAAAGGGGTGGGGGGGGAGAGAACACTTTATATTTAAGCAGCATATCAGGGATGCAATTCATAAAGAAAAAGCCGAAAGAACTTGAAAGGCATCCACAGCAAGCAATGTCAAAGTTCACGTTCCATACACCCACTCCGCCGTCCTCAGCTGAAATGCAATATCTCACACAAAAGCCCTAGCAAACGTGGATATTTGGTTTCCGAGCCTGGAACAGATGACAACAGCGTTGCATGAATAATCACAATGTCAAGAAGTGACAGGTGGACAGCAAAAGTGGGGAGGGTGGGGCGGACTGTGATGACTTCACTAAGAATATCCCTAAGTACTTCCCAAAGATACCACTTTTAGAGTTAAAATTCTTAGAATAGTCCACTCTCTTCTGTGATCTTGAGCAAATCACACCCTTTCTGAGCTTCAGCGGGCCTGACCTGTCACGGATGCCGGACAGCCCCAGCCACCCCTCCCACCTCAGGGGGCTGCTGCGCTGTTCACACCAAGACTTCCTATGAGAGGGTGCTGTACGCAGGGCCCAGGTAAATGCAGGGGCTTGTTAAAATTCGGCTTCGGTTCTTAAAGGAAGAAACCCACAGTCACAGAAACCCAAAGCCGTAACTAACTTTCCAAAGGCTCTGAAACCTGAGGTTTTACTGTTTTTAAAAATGTCTGATAATTACGGCGAGCTAGCAGCCTCAGTCTCTGCATTTCCTTCGTCGGTCTGCTCAGTAAGAAGCAGGGAAAGGGCGGAAGCTGCTTCATTAGTCAGCAAAAAGAAAATTAATACGGGCATTAACATCCAAGAAAAATAAGTCCCTTGAAGGGCTGCCAGAGTCGTCAGGACCTCATTTACAATGCAAAAGGTGGGGAGACTCGACGGCTGCGGGCCAAGAATCACAAGGGCGGATTAAAATTCATGGGCGCAGGCCAGGCCGGGGTATCGCATCCAACGCTTGGGACCTGCCGGTTCCTCGGAAGATTCCTAAAGCTCCGTGCTAAGGCTTGGAAAGGACCGGCCCATCCGTGCCCACGGGACAAGGGAAGGGGCCTCCACTCAACAGTTTGGGATCCGTGGGCTAAACCCGAGGCTCGCCCTCACCGGTCGTTCAGAATCTATGGACCCGTGGACCAGGGTGCCGGGGCCCCGCAGGGGGGAGGCGGCTCGGGGGGGGGGGGGCAGCGGGCGCTCGCCGCCGACCCCGCGGAGGCCGCGACCCCGACGCGCCCCGGCTCCGGGGGGGGGGGCGGGAAGGACCCCCCGGCCGCCCCCCTTTGTGGCGCTTCGGCGGCGCCGCAGAAGGGAGACAATGAGCGCTCTGTGCGCAGTTCCGCGCCGATTGGCTGCGCTCTCCCCCCAGAAGCCCCTGATGTCACGGGCTTGGAATGCGGGGAGGGAGGGAGCGAGGAAGGAAGGAGAGGATTTGGGGAGGGGGCGCCTCCCATCTCTTTCCCAGGCCCCAAGTCCCGGAGACAAACCCGCCGCATTCTTGGGCCAAAGGCAGCGGCGAGGCGCGGAGCCCGCGGAGCCCGCGGAGCCCGGTCCCGCCGCGCTACCAGCCGCCGGGCGAGGACGCCCCACACGAAAGCGACCCACGGAGACGTCCTTGACGTCGTTAAGAGTCTAACGGGCCACAAACTTTTTTTTTTTTTTTTGCTTTTTTTTTTTTTTCTTTAAATCTCAACTCTACGGCAGACGCCACTCCGCAAGCGGCGCGCTCAGGCTTTGTCTGCGGCGGCGGCGGCGGCGGCCTCGAGGCCCGGGAGGGGTCCCGGGGTCCCGGGGGTGCGCGGCCGCCCCGCGGTCACCCCCCCGCCCCGGGAAGCAGCGAGGCACGGGGGGGCCAGTCGGGCCGCGGACCCGCTGAGTGCGGCGGGGGGGGGGCGCAGGCTGCAGCCCGGGCGGGCGGCGGGGGGTGCGCGCCGGGGCCCCGCTCGCCGACGGGCCCCACCTAGGGCGGCGACGGGGCAGGAGCGCCCCCTTCCCGCCCGGGCGCGACCCGCGGCCACCGACGGGCTCCGGGAGCCGCACCCCCGGGGGGAACAAAGCAGGGGAGGACCCCGCGGCCCCGACGCCCCCGCCCCGCGAGCCCAGACGGCCGGCCCGGGCGCCCCTGCCCCCGCCCCCTGCCCCCTGCCCCCTGCCCCGCGCCCGCGCCCACCTTGTTCTTGACTTCGGCCGAGAGCCCGTAGGAAGGGCCCTTGTTGAAGTGGGTCATGGCGGCGCGCGCGGGCAGGGGCTGCGCTCGGCGATCCCGCTCGGCTTCCCCGCTGCGGCCCCGAGCAGTGGCCGCGGCGCAGACCTCGGAGCTCGCTCCCCGGCGGCGCGGAGACGCCCAGACGGCGGCGGGCGCGGGCGGTGCCTCGGCGGCTCGCTCCGACTGTCCCCGGGGCCGCCCGCCCGCCCGCGCCCCGTCCCCGCCGGCCGCCCCCGGCCCGCCCCGCCCCGCCCCGCGCCTGCAGGGATTGGCCGCCGGGCCGCGGGCGCCGCGCTCTCCCCGCCCTGCCCGCCGCGAGGCCCCCTCCAGCCCGGAGGGGCGGGGGGCTGGATTGGGACGGGGTGGGCGGGGCAGGGGGCAGGGGCGGGGCGAGGGGGGTGCAGCCGGGTGGGGGGCGGGGCGGGAGGTTGCAGCCGGGCGGGGGGCTGCAGCGGGGCGGGGGCGGGGGCGGGGGCGGGCTGCAGCGGGGCGGGGGGCGGGGGCGGGCTGCAGCGGGCCCTGCCCGGCGTCGGCGCCCGGGGGCTGCCCCCGCCCAGACCGCGCGTCCCCGTCCGGGCCCCCGCCGCGGCGCCCGGGGCAGGCGGAGGGAGGGGGCCCCCGGGTCCGCGCCCCGGCCCCGGGCGCAGCGCCTGCAGGGCGCGGGGCTCCCCCCGCGGGGAGCACCACGAGCGGCCTCGGAGCCCCGAGGCCCGAGGCAAGGGGCCCCCACGGACACCTGCGCCTCCCCGCACCTCGCAGCCCCCCGCACCTGTGGGCCTGGCCTCCACCCTGCTGCCGCCGCGGGAACGGCCGAGGCTTTGGGCCAACTCGAGCTCCCCCTCCCCGCGTCCAAATGCGCTGCGGAAAAAGCCGGGACTGTGCCATGGCAAAGCCTGGAGCGTTTCGAGTCCTTTTCTGGATTCGCACCAGCTCCTCTTTTTACAAGCATCTTTATCCGGAATTCAGCGAGTCCAAAAACCCGGGTGGCTGTTGCTCTACTTTTTGAATTTTATTTCATTATTTTTTGATCTAGCGGCCTCTTTGACTAACAGACCTTTGTGTAGAGCCGAGTGTCCTCCTTGGGACCAGAGGCGGCCTGCGTTCGTAGGGGCCCTGCTTCCTGCCCACCCACCACTCGCTTTCCTCGGATCTCCAAGTTATTTGATAGCAGGACGAAGGGAGCCTAACTGTCCCCATTCGCCCGAGCTCCCAGCGCGGTGCCAGGCGTCTGTCTTCCCAACGTGATCTCATTCCCCCCTACCAATAGCTAGCAGGTAGGCATCATCCATCGCAGAGATGAGGAAAATGAAACTCGGAAATCTAAGTCTCCTGGCCAAGGCCTGCCCATCTGCAAAACTTCGCCTCTTGTCATCACTTTCCTGGGCACACCTGCGACATGTTTCAACCCCTGAGATCCCAGTATGAGTTTTGTTACCAAACACCAGCTACCCGGCCCGGAAGAGATCATGGGATCAGAAGACAAACATCTTACCATGGTTGAGCCACCCTGGAACAGAAATGAGTAAAGCAACTTTAAGAGAAAGTGCAGAAAATGGCTATGGACTTCGGAAAGGCTGGGGGGGGGGAAGCTAATAGGGAGGAAAGTGGATGATTTACGTGTGATTTGCTAATTTAGACGGGAGGGGAGGTAGTAATGATAATTAGGTCATTCTTCCCACACAAATGACACAATTGACCCACAATTATCGAGACAAGCGGTTTGGGCTGTTTTTCAAGTAGTGTGATAGTGGCCTTGTGTCATCGACAAAACCTCACCCACTTTTCCTTGAGTATGGGAAGCGGTGGCCAGATCTGAGGTACAGTGGAGATGGAAAACATATGGTCACAATCATTTTAATCTAAAGTTCATTCCTTATAGAATGTTCAAGAATTATACCCAATTTTGTCATGAAAAACTTATAAAGGTGAGTTTTGTGTAATGAGGGTTATTGTTGGGACGCCTGGGTGGCTCAGCGTTTGAGCGCCTGCCTTTGGCCCAGGCCGTGATCCTGGAGTCCCGGGATCAAGTCCCACATCAGGCTTCCTGCATGGAGCCTGCTTCTCTCTCTGCCTGTGTCTCTTCCTCTCTCTCTCTCTCTCTCTCTCTCTCTCTCTCTCTCTCTCTGTCTCTCATGAATAAATAAATAAAATCTTTAAAAAAAATAAAAAAATAAAATGAGGTTTATTGTTTAATGGGTAGAGACTTGGTTGTTTGGAATGATGAAAAAGCTCTGGAAATGGATAACAATAATCCTAAAACAATGATACCTCTGTCTACTTAAAATTGGACCTTTGTAATCTTTCCCTCTTTCTCCTCTTTGCTGCCCTACCTGACCGAGCAACCACTGGTAGGCTTTCTGTCTCTACATCGCAGTTTGTGTTTCCTAGAATTTTATGTAAACGGAACCATACATTGTGTGTTCCATTTTAACTGGCTTCTTTCAGCAAAATTACTCTGAGATTCATCCATGCGGTAGCATATAGCAATAGTCCATTCCTTTACATTGCTGAGTGACATTCTAGGGGAAGGATAAGGATATATCACAATGTATATATCCATTCCCTTATTGAATATTTGGGTTTTCGGTTTTTTACTCTTGCAGATGAAGCTGTATGAACATTCATGTGCAAGTCTTTTTATGGACATATGCTTTCATTTCTCACGGATAAATATGACTGGAATGGCTGGATCATATGAAAGGTATATGTTTAATTTTTTAAGGAACTGCTAAATTTTTCCAGAGTGACTGTACCATTTTGCATTCCCATCAGCAGCATATAAGAGTTCCACTTCTCTATATCCTCACCAATACTTGGTATAATCGATCTTTTTAGGTTTAGCCATTCTATAGGTGTGGAGTGGTATCTCATCATAGTTTTAATTTTAATTAAATAAAGTTAAATAAATTAATGTGCTTGTAATCTACGTATCTTTTTCATCAAGTGTTCGTTCGGTGTTTTGCCCATATTTTGTATTTTCTTTAACTTACCCTGCTAGGGTAGATTTAGAAAATCCTGCCCACTTTCTAACAATAGGATGTGTCAGCAAATGCTCAAGTTTGAGTAAAATTTCACATTACAGAATAACTTCCAGGGTGTGTCCCAACAATCCTAAGTATTTTAGCTGGAAACGCCTTTAACACACAGAACAGTTTGAAATAAATGCTCTTAAGGAGGTCAGTGCTACCTTCCCGAATTCCCAGTTTAAGCAGTTGCTGGGGAGTTGTAAGAGAAGATTCTTGCACAGATAAAAAAATCTATGGATCATATTGTCACGTGTTTTGTCACCCGGACAATAGTAACAAATGTTTTGGAGGTTACATCCCATAAATCCACAATGTAGGAGAATTACAAAGAACTCTGGAGGCATCAGTCAATTGTATTAAAGGCAGAGGGACCGTAGAAGGCTCACAGGAGACTAAAACTACCCACTGTGTGCTAAGCACCATTAGAGATGTATTATGGGCAGTGAGATAATATATTACCCAAATAGGCATGCTTTTGAGTGAAATGTGGTACCACTAATATTTTTTTGTCTCACACAGTCCTAGTAAGTCTCCTTAATAGTGTTCCTTTGGGTGCCTGGGTAGTGCAGTTGGCTAAGCATCTACCATTGGCTCAGGTCATGATCCTAGGGTCCTGGGACCCTTGTCTGGCTCCCTACTTGGTGAGAAGTCAGCTTCTCCCTCTGTCTCTGCCCCTCCACCCTGCTCCTTCTCTCGCTTCCTGTCCCTCTTTTAAATAAATAAATAAAATATTTTTAAAAAATAGTGTTCCTTTTCACTCTCCAAAGTGTCCCTGTTTAGATGATAAATTATAGAGTCACCTCCCCTTATAGATACCACTCACAACGACCCTGTAATGGTAAATATTATCTATCCCCATTTACAATCAGAAACTAAGATTCAGCGAGAAAGGATATACAACTTGGCCAAAGCCAAGTGGTTCATAGAGCGCAGAATTGGGATTTGAAACCAGGCTTGCTTTAGGATTTCTCAAAAATCAACTTCCTAGATCCCTCAGAAATCTGAAATCACTCTTGCAAGGTTCATCTGCTTTTTCTTTGGCTGCACTTCCTGTCCTTTTAAGGAGGGCCCACCACTCACTCCACGTGGTACTGTGAAGCTCTCAGGCACACAGCTATCTCCTTCCTCAGGAGGCAGGAGGTGGCAGGTCTGTCATGGGCTTTACCCGCCAGGCACAGATACCAGCTTCAGGAAGGCCTGACCCAAGCTGGGTCCACCACAGTTCTTTCTGGTAAACAAACATGGAAGTCGAATATTTTGGTTATACGGACAGAAAACTAACCGCAATTGACTTAAACAAAAAATGGGCTTAATTGGCTCATGTGACAGAAAAGCCTGGAGAAGATGTAGCTTTATTTTTTTTTTAAATCTTTTTTTATTTATTTATGATAGTCACACAGAGAGAGAGAGAAAGAGAGGCAGGGACATAGGCAGAAAGAGAGCAGGCTCCATGCACCGGGAGCCCTACGTGGGATTCGATCCTGGGTCTCCAGGATCGCGCCCTGGGCCAAAGGCAGGCGCCAAACCGCTGCGCCACCCAGGGATCCCAAGATGTAGCTTTAGATGTGACCAGATGCAGGGACTCAGTCACAGGGATCACAAAGCCAGTATCTCCACATGCCTCTTCTGTTGACTCTCTTCCCCCTTGATGTCAAATTCACGACCAGAAGGTCCAGCCTTGCATCCTGACCTCTCAGCAGCTGCACACAAAAGAGTGCATGACAAAAAAAAAAAAAAGTGAAAAAAAAAAAAAAAGTGAACAATTTCCCAGTGGTTCCAACAGAAGTCCTGAAACTGAGTCTTCTTGGCCTCAGTTTGGGTCACGGACCCAACTCTCTACAATCACTTGGCCACAGGGAGAAAAGCTCTGTCTGACACGCCTGGCTCCAGTGTCTGAGATGCTGTGGGAGGTGAGGGGGCATTGTCCCCCACAGCACAGGAGTCAGGAGAGGGAACACACACAACCCCAAAGGAACCCCTGCACGTGCTCTTAGGTGTACATTAGAAGGCACCCTTGCTTCCAGGGACACCTTCCAGAGCCCTGCACTTAATTTTTTATTCACTGCTTTTTATTCTTCTTCTGAAAGATGACATCTAAAATTGTCTAAGTTCCAGCTCCCCCAAATCTGGAGACACCCTATAAGGAAGTTATCCTAAATGCCACTTCCCTCCTCTCCGACTGCCAATTAGGCGTCAAGTTCTCATCAATGGCTCACCTCTTCTGTTCTTTTCCTTCCCTTCCCAACAGCCTGAAATTGAAGTTCTTACCATCTGTAGCCAGGGAATGACATCCTGACTCCAGCCTTCCTCTCCCAGATTCATCTTCAAAACTGATGCCTTACAGCATGGATTTTAGAGACAAGAAAAGAAAAGAAAAATAAAAAAATTAAAAATAGAACTACCATGTGATTCAGGAATTCCACTCCTTTCACAACTTGAAAGCAGGAGCATGTAGAGATATTGGGGCAATCAGGTTCACAGCAGCACCATTCACAACAGCCAAAAGGTGGAAGCAACCCAAGTGCCCATCGATGAATGAATGGATGAACAAAATGTGGTATATACGTTGAAGGGGTGGAAACATTTTCCCTTCTTCCCTGCTAGGTTCTTCAGCAATAATTTAATTGATATAAGACAGATTAGCAGAGAAGAGCAAACTTAACTGCATACATATGAGCGCCTCACGAAGATCTGAAGACTCAAAGGGCAGCCAGGTAATTGAGGTTTATGTAATATCATGGAGCTAAGGAAAAAAATAAGGATCTGGGGAGACAAAGGGAAGAAAGGCCAGTCACTTTTGAATGGTTTTAGTTCAAAATAATCCTTATGCCACAAGGAGACACATTTTGAGGTGGTAATATGTGCTCCCCTTCAACATATAGAATATTATTCAGCCTTGAAAAGGAAGGAAATTCAGACACATGGACAACCTTGAGGACATTATGCTAAGTAAAATAAGCCAGTCCCAAAAGGAGAAATATTACACAATTCCACTTTCTGAGGTACCTGGAGTAGTCAAATTCAGAGGCAGAAAGCAGTATGGTACCCCCCTACTTAAAGTCAAGGGGCTCTTCTTCAGTTGATCGCAGGGCCAAGCCCAAGGTCTCTGCTCACAGGGTTACCATAAGGAGGATTTCAAGAAATCATGTATGCAAAGTGCTTAATTATGTGGCAGTGCCTGGCACAGGGTAATCGCTCAGTAAGTGGACGTTGCTGCCATCGTTATTACCATACTATTACCTGGCTTCTTATACCCCACCAGCCCCAAGAGTCCGGGCTGTTTCACACGTAGGTATGTCTACATAAGTGGTTTTCTCTGCTTCTATTTGTTAATATTTATCCTTCAAAAAAAAAGTCTTTTTAAAAAAAGCATTTATTCTTCAAAATCCAACTCAAATATCACCTTTCCCCAAAAGCCCTCCTTGTCTCACAAGGTTCCGATAGGTTGATTCCTCCCCTTCTCTATGTCTGCTGTTTTTCAAGTGTTCTTATTGTTGCTCTTGATGCAGTGTCTTTGATTTATGTGTTTGCATGCCAATGTCTGTCCCAGATTGTGAGTAGAATTTAGGGCAGAAAACTGTGTATCGTTGATTGCTTCATTCCTCAGTAGGTTATACTGAGTCCGGCATATAGTTGATGGTCATGTTTGCTCAATGAAGGACCGTGACAGGTACTTTTTCACAAATCTTATCCCATTTTATCCTCACAAAAACAATTCCAGGGAGATATGACTGTCCTCAGTTTTTTTCAGATGGAAGAAACAGGCTTAGAGAGGTTAGTATTTTGTTCAAGATAGCACAGCAGTGATACTAGAACCAGAATTCATTTTTTTTCTGCTTCTGAAACTCATGTTTTTCTTGCCACACTATGCCACCTAATTTTAATCCATAGTTTCCTCAGGAAATGGCATGTATATGGAAAACAGAGAAGAAAGAGCTCAGCTCTGGGGTGGCTCAGATTTGGAGGGGGGAAGACATGGGGTAAGTGAAACAACTAAGCACAAGGCAAATCTCTAAAATGAACTCAGAAACAACCTAGATGAGAGTTGTTTTTTTTTTAAGATTTTATTTTTTTTAGTTTATTGATAATATAATTTTATTTATGCATTCATTCATTTATTTATTGAATGTGTGCGTGTGCCCAAGTGTGGGGGAGTGGGGGAGGAAGGGACAAAGGGAGAGGGAGAGAGAGAATCTTAGGCAAGCTCCACACGCAGCCTAGAGCCAACTTGGGGTTCAATCTCACAGCCTGAAATCATGATAGGAGCTGAAATCAAAAGTCAGGTGCTTGACCAACTGAGCCACCTAGGCACCCCTGGTTTTATTTGTTTATCTATTTTTTAAGTAATCTCTATACCCAACATGGGGCTCAAACTCACAACCCAGAGATTGAGTCACATGCTCTACTGACTGAGCGAGCCAGTGAAGAACCCCAAAGCAAATCCTTTTCCCCCCTCATGGAAGAGAGTTTTAAGGGAAAAAAGCGAGTTACTACATAAAATGAAGATGAGAAAAGCCATTTTTCAGGACACCCGGCTGGCTCAGTCAGTAGAGCATGCAACTCTGGATCTCAGGGTTGTGAGTTCAAGCCAAACGGTGGACATGGAGCCTGCTTTAAAAAAAAAAAAAATTATTTTTCACTCTGGTCCTTCTCGATGAGAAGCCTCAGGACCACGGGTCCAGCAGAAATCTACTGGGCAAATCTATTGGGCAAGAAAGGGAGGAGCTGGTGACCATGGAGGCCGCAGGGGTAGAAAACCCATGGGTAGGGGGGAGGAAGGGGAGCAGCAAGGCAAGGCTCGACAAGCAGGCAGCCAAGGGAGGCCAGGAGGAGGATCCACAGAGCTTCAAAGGACCCAGGGGCGGGGGGTGGGGGGGGTGGGGGGGGGTGGGGGGGGTGGGGGTGGGGGGTGGAGAGGTGAACCCCCAGGGATACGGGGAGGGGCGCGGGGGCATGCAGGAGCTGAGGGAGGCTGGGCTCCCCGGGACTTGCAGGAGGGAGGACGCCTGTCCCTGTCCCCACCTTCGGCCTCCACAACCCCTTCTCTTTACCTCTCCCTTCCTTCTCTTCATTCCCATGTTCTTCACACATCATTCCTTCTGTCTTCTCTCTCCTTTTGCCTTTGTCTCGCCTCAGTCCTGCTCGCAGCAGGTGCTAACACCCCAGGAATTCCGCGGGCTGCCCTTCAGCATCGCAGGCCTCGCTGTTGGCAGTTCGGGGTTCACAGTAACATGCTTCACCAGCCGCAGGAAGGGGTTTAGGGATTGGGGGTCCCAGCCAGGGGGTCGCAACCCCCGCAAGACTTTTATGCAAGGATTTTGTTGTGTGTATTGTGCTGATCTACATTCTTCTGGAAAAGAGTCCCACTCCTTTCCTTAATTCCCAAGGGGAGAAGGGTCCAAAAAGTTTCCGGCCCTGGCTGCCTCTCACCTCCCTCCCGTAATAGCTGGTTAGGTTTGGCTTCCTTATGAGAACCCGTGTTCTTGATCTTGATAAGGACGTGGTCCAAAAGCTTCTGCTTGTAGGGAGTAGGATTAACCTCCCGAAACTCAGCTCAGCAACCATTCTGAAGCACAAAACGACTCGTTCCAGGGTCACATTCCCTTCTTCTTTGTTGCTTATCAAAAATCATAGGAAAACTTAAGATGGTATCAAAATACTAATGCAGTTTAATTCCTTTGTAAACTTGTTTACTCCAAAACATAAAGGCCAGAGTTTCCTATTGAAATACAATCCCTTTTCAGCCTAGGAGGCAGTGGGAAGCCTTTCCTAAGGATCTAATGGTCTAACTTTCAGCACGTAGCACCGGAGAGTGCTTCCCGATTATACTGAAAGTTGCTTGGCACCTGTTTCTTGAAATACGTGTGTTTAGCTTTGGGTAGTGAAGGCATCTGGGAAATAGGCATTTCGTTCAATAATATTAAAAGCATTCATATAGGAAACAGAAAACTGAGCTTTTCTTTTAGTTTTCATTAGATTAGAAACTCCAGGGACACCTGGGTGGCTCAGCAGTTAAGCACCTGCCTTCAGCTCAGGGCGTGATCCTGGGGTCACAGAATCGAGTCCCACATCAGGCTCCCTGCACGGAGCCTGCTTCTCCCTCTGCCTGTGTCTCTGCCTCTCTCTCTCTCTCTCTCTCTCTCTCTCTCTCTCTCTCAGTCTGTCTCTAGTGAATAAATAAATAAAAATCTTAAGAAAAAAAAGAGATTAGAAACTCCAGAAGGGCAGGAACCATTCCCTTCAACATTGTATCTCCACCTTAAACACATAGTAGCCGTTCAATACATAAAGGAATGAAAAACTAGCAAGCTTCTCACAGAATGGATTTTATAGAAAGTATTTTTTCTTTCCTTTTTTCCAGGTTTTTTCCAGCCTTATTGAGATGGAATTGACATATAGCACTAATGTAAATTTAAGGTGTCCAATATGTTTTTTTGATGCATTTATCTATTGTGAAATGTTTACCAAAACAAGGTTAATTGACACGTCCTTCACCTCGCATGATCATCGTTTATTTGTATTGTTGGGGGTGGCGGTGAGAACATTTAAGTTTCACTCTCAGAGCAGCTTTCTGATATACAATACAGTATTGTTAATTGTAGTCACCATGCTGTACATTAGATCCCCGGAACTTATTCATCTTATAACTGACTTTTCACCAACATCTCCCCATTTCCTCCACCTCCCTTAACCCCTGGTAACCACCAATCTACTTTCTGTTTCTGTAAGTTCAATATTTTTTCATTGAAATATAATTGACATACAATATCCTATTAATGTCAAGTGCACATCATAGCGGTGTTTCTATACATTCTGACATGGTGTCCACACTAAGCCTAATTATCATCTGTCACGATACAGAGTTATTAAAATATAATAGACTATGTCCCCTATGCTGTACATTACATTCCAATCACTTATTTATTTTATGACTCCAAGCTTGTACCTCTTAATACCCTTTACCAATTTTGCCTGCCCCCGTCAGAGGTCAGATCAAGCAAGGTATTGAAGGCTATGAGGACAGATAAGGAAAGAAGGAATACGGTCCTTAACTCTGGAGTAAAGTTCCTGAAAAATCCTTCTGTGCTTGCTTTCTGAACTAAAGAAAGATTAAAATAAGCCCAGATAAGTATTGAGGTAACTTAAAAATAAAAATTCTTGAGTGGTGTATCTGATAACTCATCCAAAAAAAATGAAATTAAGTAGGTGGACTCATTTGCCAGCCATTCTAAATAAATAAGCACCTATTATATTATTATGCTTGTTCAAGTAAAATCCTTATTACTTAGGGGAGGAATGTGGTCAACACGGTAGGAAAAAATTTTTCCACTCTTTTATTGTGTGTTTCGAATTGGCTACTCTACTAGTTTCCATTTATTTTTCCAGTTTTGCATTTTAAAATGCTTGGATCATGATTACAGGTTTAAAAAACATTAGCCTCACCTACTCTTCTTTTCAAAAAGTTTTCAAGGAAACTGCTTTGTAAAGTGATACAAGTACACTTTACTTTCAGCATAAAGAGGATATGGGTAGGATTTATAGGCATTATTCCCAATACAAAAAAAAAATCTACTTCAGCTGTCAAAATTTGCCTTTTAGTTGCTTGGTTTTACTACTGTCATGCCATAAGTCATATAGGAGAAATAAAACAAAAATATTTTCTTCATATGGTTACATAAAATTTGGTTGACAGTTGACCCTTGCACAATGCAGGGGTTAGGAACTCTCCCTACCTTACCCCATGCTCAGAAATCCACATGTAACTTTTGACTCCCCAGAACCTTAACTAATAATTAGCCTACTGTTGTTATAAATAGTTAACACATTTCATGTATGTTATGTTTTTATATAATGTATTCTTACAATAAAACAAGAGAAAAGAAAATATTAGAGAGAAAATACATTTACAGTCCTGTACTGTAAAAAATCTGCATATAAGGGACCCACACAGTTCAAACCCATGTTGTTCAAGGGTCAACTGTATATGATTACTTTTTTAAAAATATTTATTTATTTATTTATTTATTTATTTATTTATTTATTTATTTGACACAGGAGACAGGGAGAGAGCAAGCACAAGCAGAGGGAGAGGGAGAAGCAGACTCCCTGCTGAGCAGGGAGCCCAATGTGGGGCTCAATCCCAGGACCCCAGGATCATGACCTGAGCTGAAGGCAGACACTTAACTAACCGAGCCACCCAGGTGCCCATATTATTTTTAAACATATGTTTCCAAGGTGCAATTGCACTTACTTTGTTAAAACCTAACCCTCAATTATTTATCTTACGCTCCATTTATTCACATATTCTTATCTTGGTACCTATCAGTTAAACCACCATTCATCATCATCACGCAATTAGCTTTGGTAGTGATCATCCTCCTATCATGCATGTGTAGGGAAGGAAAAAAACTTTTCCTCTAACCTCTCAGACTTTGTAAATGATGACAGTAAATGAAGCCGACAAATGACAGATAAGCAGCACAGATTTACCTGCAGGCTCATAGGAGCTTTCCAGAGAAGTGAAAACCCAAAGCACAGAGCTAGGCTTGAGGACTTCTATACCATTTTAACACGGGGCAATAAATTGTGGGGCAGGGACAAGACGGAAAGTTAAAAGATTTTGGCTTCTAGGGGTGTTATATTGTGAGAAGGTAAATATATGGGGGAAATGAATGGAGATAAGGGTTATTTTGGTAAGGTAGGTTATGATAAGATTCTCCAGCAATTAAGAATCACTCTTCTCTTCCTGGTACAGAAAAGAAGGGAGGGGAGATCTTCACAAAAGGAAATCTATGCCATGATTTTAAGCAGAACCGGGGCTGGTGGGGGTGAGGGTGCCGGGAGGGCAGAGAGCTCCTCCCACGTCTGTTTCTTAACTGCCTTCACCTCAAAATAATCCTTATGCCAAAGCAACATATTTTGGGATGGCATATTCTGATCCTCTTCATAGGTTATCCCCATCTTCCTATGATGTCTGAACCCCATGGGATGGGGGTCAATCTGTTCCTTCTGGTTCCTAGTAGAGTTCTGAGTGCAAAGTAGGTGGCCACACATACTGTTTATGAATTAAAATTGCAGTGTAGTCAGTTATACCCGAGGTAAAGATAAAATGCAGCATTACCTCCTCAGGACTGCTGAGTCATTTAAATAACCATCCAAAAGACTGGTTAATATATAATTTAATAATTTGTCAGCTCCTTCAGATGCAAGCCAAAAATACTGTTCTAGTCAGCATCAACCCACAAAAGATAAATGAAGGTTGGCAAATGGTGCTCTTAAAATACACACATCTTTTCATCCAACTCATTTATTCATTCAACAAATGTCTCTTGAGGGTTTACTGTGTGCCAAGTTCTGTCCTAGACTGGAGAGACAGGAGTCAGCAAGACAAAGTCCACGACTTCAAAGTCATCGCTACTCTTGCTTGTGTTTTACTCTCCGAACTGATTCAGGAAAAGTCAAGACATTTATCCTTATATCTTTGATTTAACCGTAACATATGTGCTCAAGGACAGCGGCACAGCCAGTTACTTCTTCCAACTACTGTAGGACTTATCTGTGCTTCCAGGATAAACTCCAAACATCCTGGAGTTTACAAAGCCCTTTTCACATGGAATGTCTCACTAATAACTAGCCTGGAAACACACACACAGGGACACCAAACAACCAAAAAAAAAAAAAAATGCTCTTCAAGCCTTGCATGCTTCACCTTTGCATGTGTTCTAGGGAATGACCGGCTTTTAGTAATTTAGGAAAACAGCTGTGTCCAGACAAAGCCTTCTCCATAGCCTTTTCCAAAGTCTTCTGCTTTACCTGGCTTTCGCCCACTAGGCTCAGTAATCACCTCTTCCAGGAAGCCTTCCTTGTTCCTCTGAGTCTGGTTAAGCACCCACTCTAGGTTTCTGTGATTTTTAGTTTTTTAACCTCTGTCATAGAAATTATTGCACTATATTATAATGATCTAGCCTCTCTTTTCACTAGATTATGTGCTTCTTAAATTTAGAGGCTAATTCTTTTACACCTATTATGTCCATATTAAAAGAAAGGAAAAAAAAAGAAGGAGGGTGTGTATTGAAATTGATAAGAATTCCTGCTCAAAGCTCTCCACCCTCTCTTTTTGGGAAGCAGACCCACCGGGTCCAAACCAGCACTGATACTTCTTAGCTGTGAGACTTTAGGCAAGTTACTTAACTCAGCTGCGTCTCTTACTCCTGAAGCCAAGCACAGGCTTAATAAGTATTTGCTTAAGGAAAGAATAATGATTATTAGAGGCTTAATTAATAGTGATAGTTAACATACACAGCACTTACTCTGTGCCTGGTACTGTTTTGAACACTTTCCGCATGTTATCTCTGTCAGTCCTCACATAACCCGGTGACATGATACTATCATATTCCTTCTGTAGAAGAAACTGGCCTGCAGAGGTGACCCACCAGATTACATAGTGGGGCTCCAGAGCCCATTCTCTGAACTATCACCCCCTCCTGTTGGTTGCTGGCTGCAAGGGCAGAGGGACTAGAGGAAGAGACAAGATGATGAACACAGTATCCCCCGCCCTCATCAAGAAAAACATCCTTTATTACTATCATTTCATTTCCTGGGGATGACCCACCAATATCCTAAAAGTGCTGCTCTTCAGTCAGACAATCCTTGCTTCCAGCTAAAACTCCCCTTTACCTACCTGAAACATCCCATATTAATTATGCTTGGTTTGGGGTCTAGTGGGAAAACATAGCTCCTTGACTATGTTTGACCCAAGAGTCTTCTTTTAAAAAAAATTTTTTTTTTTATTTGACGGGGGGGAGAGAGAGAGAGAGAGAGAGAGAGAGAGAGAGAGAGAGAGAGAGAGAACAAGCTGTGGGGAGAGGGAGAAGCAGACTCCCAGCTGAGGAGGGTGCCCCATGCAGGGCTTGATCCCAGGACCCTGAGATCATGACCTGAGCCCAAGGCAGAAGCCCAACAGACTGAGCCACCCAGGGGCCCCCCAAGGGTCTTCTTATTTGGGACTGTCATCCTCTTTGGCAGAATGAGCAGCCAAGGAAGATCTGTGTTGGGGGACGAGATCACCCCCTAGCTAGCCAGTCCACCTCACATCCACAGGAGACCTTATTAATTGGGAGAGTGATGAGGGTTTCCCTTCCAATTTCTGAGATTTCCTTCTCACTCACTAATCCACTTAATGCATATATTTGACTTTCACCTGTTACGATTTATTTCTAAAATAATACATAGGTGTCTCTAGGAATGGTTAGTCTTAGGACAGAAGCTGGAGTCCATGAAGTGGACAGCCCTTCTCTGAAGACCCCTCTTGCTTCACCTCACCCATAGGGTGAGCCCCAGCAGTGATCCTTGGATTCCTTGACCCTCCCCTGACAGCTCAGCTCACTAGGAGACAGAGATGGGGCAATCAATTCTCTTGCCTACATGTTTGATTCCTGGTTGGTCACTTCAACTGAAGTCTTCTAAATTTAGAAGCTGTAAGGTGATCATGTTCCATTTTATATGTAGAAAAGCAGATACAACAAGTTTATTAGTTAGGTTACAGGTTCCAGTTTCTTTAGTAAAGAATCAATATAGGGGCACCCGGGTGGCTCAGCCAATTAAGCTTCAGCCTCTTGATTTCAACTCAGGTCATGGTCTTGGGGTCCTGAGATAGCCCCACATTGGGCTCCACACTCAGCATGGAGTCTGCTGGAGATTCTTTCCCTCTCCATCTGCCCTTCCCCCTAATGGTGCTCTTTCTCTCTCAGATGAATAGATAAATAAATCTTTAAAAAAAAGAAATAAAGGGACACCTGGGTGGCTCAGTGGTTGAGCGTCTGCCTTCAGCTCAGGGCATGATCCCGGGGTCACCGGATCAAGTCCCGCATCAGGCTCCTTGTGAGGAGCCTGCTTCTCCCTCTGCCTGTCTCTGCCCCCCCCCTCAATCTCTCTGTATCTCTCATGAATAAACAAATAATCTAAAAAAAAAATAAAAAAGAAAGAAAGAAAGAAAGACCCAATTAACCCCAGCTTAAATGAGATAGAAGCATGTTTTCCTTTCATTTAAGAGTTCAGGGCTAATACGATGGCTCCTGTGGCTGGAGACCCACGCTCCTACCTCAGGGCTGCAACCTCCTCCACTGGCAGCTTTCACCTCCAGGTCAAAGGCGATGGCTTCAGCTCCTGCCACCCTTCTCCACACCTAGGCAGCAAGGAGGGAGAAGGACCGAAAGAGGAGCTCACTCCCTTGCATTTAGAGCATCCCCTAGAAGTTGTACTTATCCCGTCTGTCTGGGTGGCATTGGCCAGAACCTAATAAATGGTCACAATTAGCAGCGAGGGAGGCTTGGAGGGGTGGCTTCGGCTGGGTAGCCTTACTTCCAGCTAAAACTCTATCCTCAGAGAAGGGGAGACGCAACGAGCAGTCTTGGCTGCGTCCAGGCTCACACAGCCGGCTGGTCCCTGGGAGCCCAGGAGGAGAGAAAGCTGCAGGGAGAGACTTGGGGCCTGAGGCTGGGAGAGCCACAGGCCTTCCAGGTGGCACCCGCTGCTCCTTTCAGTCTCCCACCGACTCCCAGCAGCTTGCTTGCCCTCGCTTCTCAGAAACCCCGGGCTTTGCAGAAGCTCACCCAGGGGGCCCTCTGTTCCTTGACACCAAAGAGCCTTGTCCGGGACCATTGAGCTGACAAGGTGCTCCTTGCAGGCACATCAGCATTTTGTCCCGACTCGGGGTTTCCTCGGTGCCCATGCTCCGTGGATGAATACTGATTGAGCCTAATGCACCCTCTTGCAGCTGGGTGCATTTACTGTCCGTCTCCATCATTTTGGCCAGTTATCCTCTGCAGGCTTCCAGATTGCTCCAGAGAACAGCAAGGGTGGGCCCACGGGAGGATCAGAGAAACGTCTCAATCTGCCACTCAGAGAGGAAACTGGGAAGAGTTGGGCCAGGCCCTGCCCTGAGATCTGTGGGCGCTCCGAGGAGGGGTGTCGTCCAGGCAGCAAACAAGGCGATCTGCACCCCCTGGTAAGGAAACCAGGGCACCAGGATCCAGGGGACGGCTTTCCCTCCCTCCCGGGCCCATGCACCCAGCTCACCCTCAAAGGAAAACAGCCCCAGCCTGGACTTGGAGAAGAGTCTGACATGAAACTGTTTTTGGTGTTCTAAATTTAACCAGCTGGAAAGAAGTACCATTCTATTAAATGCTTTTCTAAATGGAGGATTTGCCTCTTTAATGGAAAATCTGCATTTCATCAAAGGGATGGAAAACAATACACTTGACTAGTTCATTTGATACAAAGCCCAGCATAACAACAAGCCCAAATCCATGCTTTTGTTGATCATCTTTAAGAGAAAATAAAGCAAGGGATTTTGAGAGGCCTGTAAGCTGTATTCTGCGGTATCCTAATGAAAACAGCAGGGTTCAAGTTCTATCCAAGAATTTTACAAGTCCGCCTGGCCTGGGGAAGGCATCCAATTAATTCTTGTTGAATAAGTATGTTTCAAACTGATGCTGAAGCAATTAGTTTGGAAATCTCTACAACCCGCTACGTTTCTACATTTTACTCTTAAAATACACAGGCTTTGTGAATGAGTATCAAAATTAGCTTCATCAATAGTGGGAATGAAATCAAGTCCACGGTAGGAGCAGAGCAGATTTTTAAATCTTAAAGTGATTTAAAAATTGCAAATGACAGCACTGCCGTTTTCTGCTTCGCTCTAAACATTACAGGTGACGTCTACAGTGCCAAAGGCCTCCCAGCAGCAGCTAGTTCTAGAGACCAGTCATTGAGGACATCATGTTGCTTGGCAGCATTTTTATCCTTTACTTCTTCAGGAATTTTTTTTTCAGATCCTATATTTCTTTTTATGAGATGGTGTGTCCATTTATCGACATTACATTAGATAGCGCTGTGGTATTTTCCCCAAAACTGGTTTTCATTCAGAGGCAACTAGTTTAGTGCTGTGTTGGGAGGTGCCCACGCCCACTCCCAGATGCAGTGATTTACGAGGAGCCCTCACAGGACTCAGCGTCCCATTGCACTCGTGGCTTTGCCTTATTACGGCCAAAGGATGCCAAACAGTCAGCAAAGAGAGGAAGCACGTGGGTGACGTCTGGGCAAAACCAGGTGCAAGCTTCCAAGGGTCCTCTCCCAGGGGAGATGCATAGGACATGCTGATCCTCCCAGCCACGAACTCCACCTTTGAGAGCACATCCTGAATGTTGTCAACCAGGGGAGCTCATTAGAGACTCAGTGCCCAGGGTTTTGAGTGGACGCTGCTCGTGGAGGCAGCCTCTGCCTGGCGTACACCCAAACGCTGGGCTCTCAGGAGGAAAGCAGGTGTTCAGCATAAATCACGTTGTTTAGATAAACAGCTTAGACATGGTGAGCCACTCTTATCAGTTAAGTGGGAACCTTCTCAAACCTAAGTTCCCAGACACCAGCCAAGAGCCAACCTTGCAAGCAGGCCTCTTGATGGCTAGCAGTTCGGGTTCACTATGTGGACGCTCTTCTACACAAACGCCATCAGTAGACTATCAAGAATCATGACAATGACATTAATAAGTTTGAGGGATTTTTTTTTCAAGTTGACATCTAGTCCTTTATTTTATGTATTTATTTTTCTTAAAGGTTTCATTTTTCCATAATCTCTACCCCCAACTTGGGGCTCAAACTTGTAACACTCAGATCAAGAGTCACATGTTCCACTGAATGAGCCAGCCAGGTGTCCCTGGTTCCTTTCTTTACTTTTTGAGCCTTAACAATGTGCAAAGGCACAGGAGTTCTGCTTTTTTTTTTTTTTTTTTTTAAAGTGAGAGTCATGGGCAATTGGAAGTATGTCTGAGGCCTGGCTGTCTCACGTTCATAGGTCCCTCTGCAGCTCCACTTCTGCCCAGGTGAGGCCAGATCACTGCTGTCATATGATAGGATTCGATTTGTCAGAAAGTCTCATTGGTGACCCCAGTGCCTTTGGAAGGAAAGCTCTCTGCCCTAGAGATGCTGCGAAGGGCATTGAGGACCACGCATCTGGTCATGAAGCTGGTAATACCCTCAGGGCAGGGAGTAAAGCAAGTTTTGACAAAGCAAATGCAGATTGAAAAAGATTCCAAAAAATATTAAATGTAAAGGAATGATCCTTGTTTGCTTCTTTGTAATCGATTCTTTCAGGGCTCTATCCCAAGGTGGTAACAGTCCCTAACATTTAGATGGTGCTTTACTGTCTTCTCAAAGTGCTTTCAGGTATATCTTCTCATACTCTCCTCACAGCAACCTGGAAGGGAAGCTGGATCTGTAGTATACCCATTTCACAGATGAGAAACTAAGGCAAGGATAAGGTGAATTTCCCAACACCTCAGGACTAGTGACTTGGGGTCTTTTATTTACTTATTAAAGATTTTATTTATTTATTCATGAGAGACACACACACACACATAGAGAGAGAGAGAGAGAGAGAGAGAGAGAGAGAGAGAGAAAGGAAGAGGGAGAAGCAGGCTCCATGCATGGAGTCCAACGTGGGACTCGATCCCGGGTCTCCAGGATCACGCCCTGGGCTGAAGGCAGGTGCTAGACTGCTGAGCCACCCAGGGATCCCCACTTGCAGTCTTTTCATCTTGGGTGGTGCTTCTCAGTCTTTAATGTGCAGGAGGCTTAGTAAGTTGGGGGTGGGAGAGCGATCCTGATTCTTCATTTTTCACAAGTTCGCAGGTGATACAATCCAAAAAAGAAAGAATACAAAATACATTACTTTTTAATTGATTTTTAGATTTAATTTTATTTTAGTAAGCTCATGACCTCAAGACCAAGAATCACACACTACCAACTGAGCCAGCCAGGTGCCCCTGATTATTTTTCTTATTGTGAAATAAAACCTACATCCACAAGAGTATAAACTTTACATGAATACTTAAAATTACAATGAAGCAAATGCTATGTGATCCCGCTACCCAGACAAGACGAACTCTTTCTTTCTCTGTCTCTCCCTGATCATTAAGCCTCCACCTCCTCCTGGGAGGAAACTCTCTCTTGACTTTTGTGATCATCATTTTCTTTCTTTTCTTTAGGAAACTGAATATTTAAAATAATGCTTTTTCATTGCTCTGGTTCCTGATACTTTGGAGTCATCAGTGTTTCACATGTGATAATGATACACGGGCCAAGAGGACAGATCTTGTCTTTGGAAATCTTCAGCAGAAGAAAGACCCCTAGAGGAGCTGGGGTCTGCTATGGAAAAGTATGCACAAACAGAGGGGGTAACCCCCAAACAGAATACTAACTTTAGAAATGGAATATACTGGAATAAGTGAGTTCTGGATGTTTGCTACTACATCAAGTCAATATTTAACAAATCCGTTGTAGTTGGTCAAAGTCTATTACAAATGAGAAAGGTCAGTACCTAGAGGAGATAATAAGAAGAATGTTATTAAATGTTCCACTTGCCTTTGGGTGGTCTTGCTCATGGCAGTTCCGATTCCCCTCATTTGAGAAAATCATCAGTCCTGATTTAAAAAAAAAAAAAAACATATTCTCCTAAAACTACTGCTTATAGATATGGACCTTTGGTTTACTTAGTCTGATTAAAAATTCAACTGGGCAGCATATCCAAAGGCCAAGAGCATCGGAGGTGCCAGTGTTTGTTTAGCACCAGGTGGCCAGGAAGTCTTGCTTCCTATAAAAAAAAGAAAGATCAAAATTCCCCAGGCAGCCTATGAATAGGACTATGATGCCAAAAAGAAGGGAAGGCTGAAAACAGCTCCAGCTTCTCGATTGAGTCTTACCAATGGAACCTGTACTTCATGTGTATCAGTCAGCTACTGCTATGTAACAAATCATCCCCAAATTTAGAGGCTTAATAAACAGCTTAAAATTTCTCATGATTCTTTGGCTTGTTCTGGAGGTTCTTGTGCTGGTCTTTCCTGGACACACTTTGGCTGGATAGCCAGCCGGGCTGCCTGGACCAATATAGTTTCCCACACACAGCTGACAGTTGTGGCAGCTTATTCTTAAATGTTTGTCCCAGAGAAGTGAAGTATTCAGTATTTTTTGTAAGTCAGCTGTTAAACCACTGGTAGCTTGAAATCAGCCATGTGGAAGTATTTATACTGCAAAAATTGAAAAATGCTATAAATCGGGTCTTTTTTTTTTTTTTTTTCTGGAGTGCCGGCTTACCAGGACACCACTGCCTACATCTGTGTGTGTCCTACAAAACCTCACACAGTGTGGGTGCTTCGTGTATGTTTGTTAAAATGAATCTTTGGTTAAGAGGCATGGAGGT